CTAATCTAGGGTGCACACTGTGTCCTGGAATGTGAAGATTCCTCTTTATAGAATATCATGTGCAAGCTGACACATAGCTTCTCCTGCAAAAGGCCACTGTGTTATTCTCTTGGGTCAGCAGCTTCTGGAGGGTATAGCTTATGAGAAGTCCAGTGACCTAGTATCTTCTTCTGAAAGGATGCATAAATTCTGAATTGATTATTTGAAGGTCAGATACCGGTGCTGACTGAAGCCCTGAGGTGAGAAAGTAGATATATGCCCCAAACAGATTTGATTCCATAAAAGATAAATCAACTTGCAGAGTGTCTGACTGGTCTTCTTGAGGGACAATGCTGTAGGGAACTCACCTTGGGTCTCTCTGGCTAATACATTAGATTTTGGCCTTAATAAGTGGAAACCCATGATGTGGGGCCCATGTGTAGCTTCCTTTGCTGTTACCATAGTCACTCAGTTCCTGATAGCAATGTGCCACCACTGGGCGGAGTGGCTGATTGATGAGCTGCCTGACATTGATTGACCAGGTCATTCTATCTACTTGGTCACCTTGTGCCTCCTCCATAGTGGATGCTTTCTAGGGGAGAAGCAGCTAATTTCCCTCCTCACAAAGTTTCCATATCTTTCTGAGTTCCTGTCCCATGGAGGAGTATGTATCTTTTTGGAGGGGCTCACACATTGTTCCATTTGCTTCTCACAGATCAGTGAAATCCAGGATCTCTCCTCCATCCTGAGAAGTGATCTGCTCAAGGCCTACACAGGATTATAGAGGTTATATACCATATAACTTATAGTCAATTATTCCTAAAATGGCCTTGAACAAAGAGCAAAGCTTTGTCAGTTCCCCCCCCACTATTCAGTGTATTTTGTTTTTCAGTCCTAGAGACAGAATAGAAGTTCAGTCTCAGTGTTAGTATTCATATGAAGAATACTAACCTACTGGATGTCCATAACCCTTCAGAGCCAGGAGAATGCATCCTCAGCAACTTCTGATATCAAAAAGATACAAATAATAATCTTAACCATGTTTCCCTTTCACTCATTTGTTTGTTAAACGCTTAGTACCAGAAGTCTCCAAACATAAAAACTGCACCTGTATCTAAGTTCTCCAGTTCTTGATGAGCTGCATGCTAGTCTTCGGAACCCTTTCCTAGGGGTCTTATCTGCCCAGCACTGAGGGAGGCTGGCCATTCTACCCTAAGCATTTTGTAATAAATGTACCTCAATGATACTTTTAAAAAAATTAAATAATGACATTTGTTAAAACAATACTGAGCTACAAACTTAAGCTCTTTACTATATGTCTGTTTCACTTTGGTAAAAAGATTTCTGCAAAAAAAAAAAAATAATACTGCACACTCAGTCCCAAAGGTGCTATAAGAAAGAAAAAGTCCCATTCCTTGCAAGGTTTCTGGAAGGGTCCAATAGACATTGAATAGAAATGAACTGGTTATAAATAAATAAACTTAAAATATCAACATTTCTGCTAAGAGCTTCAGTTAAGAACACCATGTACAAATTTTCTACCCTTTAGCAAATGGAAAAGACCTATTTTTCAGATAGATTCAATTTCCCAGTGAATGCCGGGTAACTTGCCAAATATATTTAAAATACTATGGGTCCTAACTTCTGGATCCAGTTTCCGGTTTTATCACTCATTAGCTTGTGATCTTAGAACAATTTGCCTCCACTTTATGTGTCTAATTTTCCCCATCCCTAAAAACCAGGATGTAATTCTTCTGGCAACACACACAGTAGAAGCTGGCTCTTGTGGGGAGGGATGCTGAACCTCACTTTTCTTATCTGTAAACTCAGGAGTTAGTAGACCTTTCTTGTTCTGTCTGCACAGTCTCTATTCCCCCCATCTCCTGGTAATAACATTCCTATTATTTAAGAAATGTCTCCTTCCTCCTCCATGTGGTTCCAGTTTGGAAGTATCATTACCACTGTAGTAATGGCAGGGACACCTAGCCAGGGGAAAACTAATGACAGAATCTTGAAAGGACCTAAGGCCACCCAGACATCAGAATAAGATGTGAGTCAATGCCATATATCTGGGAAGGTACCTGATCTTGTCACGAGATATGGAAAATCCTGACACTCTAGAAATTCTCTTTCTTTCAAGAATACATATGAAAAAGTCCCCTTCTTTGCTTAAAAACATCAACGACAACCCTAAACCACCCCCAAACAAAATTAAAAGACCAAAATCAAAACCAAAATCCTTTCTCTCAATTCCACTAAGGACTGGGTTTCCAGGGAGAGTAAACCATCTCTGACTTGATTCTAAAATCACGTTTTAAAGTTTGGAGAGGAGCCCAAAGGGAGAATAAACGAACTACCAAGGTCAAGTTAGGAAGGGTCATTATGTGTGCCATTGCCCAAAACAGTTCTCTGAGGTCCAAACGGCAATTTTTGAAAAGATGACCTTAACTGAAGCAAGGACAGATTTATAGCCACCCAAGAAAAGAGATTGTCACTTGCCAGACCACTAAGTGGTGAACCAAGGCTAGTAACAGTGTCTCCATAATAGTGTCTTCTGGGTTATAGGATCAAACCCCCCCTAACCCCACCCCTTCATTCCTAGGAGTCTATTGAGCTGGACGCCTAAACTTGACCTTCTCTCCGTCCAAAACCAAGACCCTCCGTGATGGGAGAGTGGAAGTGGGGCCTTGAGTGCTCCTTTATGATATTATTTTTTCTGAGGTTCACTTTTCTTTGGGCAACCATAGTTACTTCTACTAGTTGGGTGGAGGAGCCAACGAGAACCACAAAGGAAGGGTTAGGATGTGCAGATGGTCCCTGACTTACAATGGTTTGACTTACAATTCTTGACTTTATGATAGTGTGGAAGTGATACAAATTCAGGATAAACCATACTTCAAATTTGGAATTTTGATCTTTTCCCAAGCTAGCAGTATGTAGTGAGAGAACTCTCTTGTGAGGCTGGGCAGTGGCAGCAGGAAGCCACAGCTCCAGATCATGAGAGGAAACCATCGTGCCCTACAGTGTGCTGTGCTGCTGAGCTAGGACCTTTTGCATTTCTGTCTTAACAATATTTCAACTAACGACGGGTTTGCCGGAGTACGAATCCATCATTAGTCAAGAAGCAACCGCAAAAACATCAAGTGGCATCTGTGAGATCATGCGACAGTGCAACAAGCTCTGGCGATGGCTGGCTGGCTATGTTTGTGGTCTGGTGCTTTTGGGGTGTTCTTTGAGAACATGTCAGTATGCCAGATTGAGGTCAGGCCTAAGGGCTGACAAATCAAGAACCCTGGGAAACTGCCTGGCAGTTTGGGGAGCTCAACCACACAGACTTGGCTAAGTCTGAGGGAGGCACTGCCCCAAACAGTAAGGGCCCAGGAAGAAGGGAGGATTTTATTTTTCTCTGCATAGCCTTATAAACTCTTTGGATTATTTAGCTAGATCATTATAAAAAGAAAATTCAAGAAATTTCCAAAACAAAAAAATATTGTACAGTTTTGAGTCATTAGAAAATTATTTCTTCTTCTTTTCCTACTTAATGTCTGTAAGATTAGACACTTGACTTTGGTAGAGGTCAGAGGAAAGTTGTTCCACTGAGAGGGAGTCTTCTGGGTAGTCTTGTCTCTTTCTGTCTTGCTCCGTGTCTTTTTAATTAAGCAGCTGCTGATCAACAATGGCTTTCTCTAATTGGGGGATGAGGTTGGGTCATTAGCTAAATACCAATCATCTGCTGCTGTGGATTGGATGAGGTAGTCTTCAAAAGTTCTTGTGTTAAAGGCCTGATCTCCAAGGTGGTGCTGTTGTGGACCCTTAGGAGGAGGAACCTAGTGGGAAGCCCTTGGGTCATTGAGGGTGTGCTCCCAAAGGGGATTGTAGAATCCCGATCCTTCCTCTCTTTGCTCCACCACACATTCCCACCATGATATACCATCCTCAACAAAGCAATGAAGCCACTTGGTCTTGCACTAGAACACCCAGAACTGTAAGCCAAAATTAATATTTTTCTCTTTATAAATTAATTGTCTTGGGTACCTCATTATTAGTGACACAACTAATACAGTAAACAAGATGGGAGCAGGAACTTAGGTTCATGTGGACTGGGACAAAGGGAATGGTGAATGCCCAGGTTTGTCATAATTCTGTTGATCAATCCATTGTCAGAAGAAAGGAAAAGAATAATGAATGGGGCAGGGTCTCATGTACTAGGTCATGCCCTGAGGAAATGCCATGCAAGCTGGTGTCATCAGATCATTTTACAAGTAAGGATATGTACCCAGATACACGATCAGAAATTGACAGAATGTCCCAGCGAGATTTGGAGCAGATAGAGTCATGTACTCTAAACCACTGGCAGGAGATTTGTTCCAGACCAGACACCACCAAGAACCACAATTGTGCCTGTATCATTGTCCTTAAGAGAAGCTCCATCGCTAAACCAGCTCTTCTATCCCCCGAATCAAATGAGCCCTATATGGGGCTGAACTCCAAATCATACAACTTGGGAACACAATAGTCCTTAAAGAAAATATATCAAGGCTGAGGAATATTATGGTCAAGTTGTATAAGGGAATATTCATTGGTTATATCTTAATCTCAGTGCTATCTGGGATTTTTTTTTTTATCAAAGCAAAACCCAGTCTTTGGTGGAAAAGTGTCATCTAGTTATCCAAGTTTTTTTTTTTCAAAGTTTCAAAATAGGGTTCCCTGACATTCCCATTCCTCCTTACTTCCCCCTAGGACTTACTAAGTAGAACCAGCTAATCCCACTTCACCCTTTGGCACTTTTTTTTTTTTTCATTAATCAGTGTGGGTGTTAGAGAGATCCTGTTCCCCTAAATGTGTGGTCACTCTTCCCCCAGTGGTCAGAATCTTGATGCAGACAGCATGAAGAGTGCTGCATGTAGTTCCCTGCCTTGAATATGTCTGCCTCCTATTTATTTATGCAGAACATTGACTTCATAAAAATTCTAGACCTCCATCCACAATTGACAAACTGAAGAAATACCTCACATACAGAATGGTTTTATACTGCATTTAATCAGCATTTGTTGATGGCAGCATAGTTTGTTCTTTTTAGATGTTTCACTCATAGAATTTACAATTTGTTTCTGGTGTGCCCATAGCTGGCATGCACTGATGCTGCAAGTGGATCTGAAGCCACCCGAGACCTGCTGCCATTAGAACTGAAGAACCGTCTTGACGACTTCAACATAGTGGCTGTCTGGGGGCGGCTTCCTCTGACTCCCATGCTGGAGAAACTTCTTAATTGTAGGAATGTTGCTGATTCTTGTTTTGAATGCCTGAACAAGAAATAGTAAAATCAGGGCCTCCATAGATCTCATGACCTTTAAGAAAAATCAGAACTTTGTCACAAGAGGACGGTGCTTAGACTTTAGTATGCAGAGCCTGGTGTATTGAAACAGGGTCAATCCTCCAATGCATTTCTGGATGTTCCTGGGAGAGCGATGCCATTACCAGTGTACTGAGCATGAGTTATCTTAATAAAAAGACATTGTCACACTCAGGCAGTGCATATCAGAAACTATAACATATTCATACTTTTTACCTATCAATTCTTGTTCTAGGAATTTATTATACGAGAATAAGTAGGGTTGTGAGCAAGAAAAATAGTTATCAGAATTTTAACAGAAAATAATCTATATTCAGGAAGGGGAATTGGTTACATAAACAAATTGTGATATGTATATAAATTATATTTCTACAAGGAATATAAGTCAGCAATTTTAAAATGATATTATATAACAAGAAACAGAAATAGAAGTTCCCTGTGTTGATGGGAAACATCTCTGGAATGTATTTTTTAGTTAAAAAAAAAAAACAACTGGAGCAGAACAGAATATATAGTACTTTATATAGAGTATACGAAAGTGGAGGATGAAACAAGAATATATTTTCATATTTGCTGATATCTGCATAAATAGGAGCACTGAAAGGATATGCAAAATTCTGTAAAAATGATTACAGAGACAGGAAAATGGGATGGCAGTGGTGGAAATGAGACTTCTCAATTTATGCCCTTTTTATATAGCTTTCATTCTTCCGGAAAAAAAAATGATTCCATTGCCCAGTGAAAATAAAAGTATTGCAGAAGAAAATTTGTTGATAATTGAAAAGAATTTTAAAAGCAAGCCACAAAGAAATATTTGGCATAATCCTATTTTAAGAAAAATAATAACAATAGGTCAGGAAGTCTCATGCCCTCATGCTATAACATTTGGCTGGAGGGATTATAAATCTTTTTTTTTCCCTTTTCTTCTTTTGATTAAGGCAAATGTCTATCATAGCTACATGAACTTGCATTTCTTTTATAATAAGAAAAAATTTGGGCTGGGGATGTGGCTCAAGTGGTAGTGCGCTCTCCTGGCATGCGTGCGGCCTGGGTTTGATCCTCAACACCACATACAAACAAAGATGTTGTGTCCGCCGAAAACTGAAAAATAAATATTAAAAATTCTCTCTCTCTCTCTCTCTCTCTTAAAAAAAAAAAAAAGAAAAAAATCTATTCTTAAATTATAAAACCCACAGTCATCCATGAGACAAGATGTTTCTAAGGAATCAAGCAGAGTCTGGGTCAGGGCCTCAGTGACAGGCTTCTGTCTGAGGGTCAGACAATGCGATAGGGACAGCAGTGCCACATGCACACTTCACTCTGAGCAATGGAGGGACCGTGTAGGGCTCAGGCTCAGCGGGACTAAAAGTGGGCAGGACTGTCTGGTAGGAACTGGAGAGGAAAGCTACAAAGGCAGGCTTGTTAGTCTTGTTTCATCAGGAAAAAAAAAAATGCTCAAAGCATAAAAAGAAAACAAGAAGAAAGTACTGATTTTTATGCTAGAAATCAAAACATCTATTTTTCCCATCATAAGGTTTTATCTCCTAACAGACCCTATAGAGTAAGCAAGAGAAAATGATCAGACTGAAAAAAAAAATAATTTTGAAATAGTATTGAGATTGACCTGGAGACACATTTTGTTGTCATTGTTTCTGCTCATGTTTTCCTGGGCTTACTTGGGGATGTTAATGTAATACCTTTAGCAGTGGGAAGTCAGAGAGGACAGGAGCATCAAGTTCTTCCACCATTAAAATAGCTTCTAACAGCTGTATATCTGCCCAGCTGAATTTGTTGCCAACGAGAAAATCCTCTCCGTGGTCTTTCAGAATCTACAGAAAGAAAGAAAGGAAAGAAAAAGATTACCAAATGGAATTAGAAAGACTATTTTGCCTGGCTAAACACCTTGAAAAGCATAAAATCTTCACACTGATCAGATTTACTGATAATCTTCAATGCTGGCAAGAATAGGTTGTAACCAACACCCTTTTACAAGTTGAAAATTGGCACAATCTTTTTGGAAATTGGTCAGTGATTGTCAAGGTCCCTTAGATGGTGAAGTGCCAACACTGGGCTCCTGTTACAAGCTTGGAGGTAGGTGGTTATGTAAAACTATACCCACCAGTACAGGGAGTCACAAAAGCCACATAGCTAGCACCTGACTGCTCTACCACAGGTGGAAAGAAGTCACCAATGGAATAGCAGCAGCCCAAACCTCAGCCACAAAAAAAAGCTCATTTTTTTTTACTAGAAAAATGAATATAAATAATCTCTATGGGGAATCTTTGAATGGAAGATGCATAAAATATGGGTTACTCCAAAATATTTTTAGATTTTGTCAAAGGTATTTTAGTTATCTCAGTGAATCAGAGAAGCAGGGTTTGTTTTCTGCTCAGGACCATTGTCTTCACAGAAAAAAAGATCTCTTCAAAGCCCCAGAAAGAATAACTTGCCTACCAGCAGCCTCTAGAATATGTATTCTTGATCAGAAGATCAAGATGGCTTGGTAATTAAATAAATAACCTATGATGATAAATAGTATCATAATGGTATATGATACTATAATGGACAAAAGCAGGAACAAAATAATAATAAACTCATTGTTCTGTTTAGAAAATGCTAAGTAGTTAATTAATTTTTTTAATAAACTCATCAATGAGTTTTTCCCTTCTTTTTTTTTAGAGAGAGAATTTTAATATTTATTTTTTTTTTTTTTAGTTTTCGGTGGATACAACATCGAACCCAGGCCGAATGCATGCCAGACGAGCGTGCTACCGCTTGAGCCACATCCCCAGCCCCAGTAGTTAATTTCTTTTAAGTGGAAAATAAAAAGAATTGAGCATTTATCTTCCTTGCCTACATAAACCACATCCCAGAGTAACCAAACGTATTATGAGACAGAGATTCTTTTTATACAAAATATTCCAGCTAATAGGGATGGGGATGTGGCTCAAGCGGTAGCGCGCTTGCCTGGCATGCGTGCGGCCCAGGTTCGATCCTCAGCACCACATACAAACAAAGATGTTGTGTCCACCAATAACTAAAAAATAAATATTAAAAAAAATAAAATAAAGCTTCTTTCCAGATATTTAAAAAACAAAAAACAAAAAAACAAAATATTCCAGCTAATAAATGAAGAGAGACTAATAGGATGGAGGTTTGAACACTTTTTGGATCCACTAATAAATCAATGTATCTAGGCATTTATTATTAATTATGTTAACATCATAAGAACAGCAATCAGGTAGCTTGTGCTTTCCGATGACCTACACAACACCACCTAGGAAGTATTCTAGCCACAATAATTAAATCTGAACCTGATCGACCTTCTAATCCTAACTTCCAATTTACAAGATATTTAGGACTAAAGTCATTCATTGCAATGACTAAAATCCAGCCTGAGAGAAACTCCAGGACAAATGTAATAGGGAAAAAAAAAAAACAGAGAGAAAAGGAAGAATAAGAGCAGGCAAGTGATCATTATATTAGGAAACTTAAGAAATGTACTAATTGCAAAAAATGGAGTTAAATTCAACCCTGATTTGAATGAACAATTTTTAAATGTTTTGGGAAGTAAGCCATTTGCTGATTTCAAAATCTGTAGTAAGGCATAGCCCACTGAATACTACAACTCAAATGATCATTTACTCATTTTAAATGGAAGGTATTTCAACCGTGCTATATTTTGTCCCCAGATTACCAGAATTTGCTTATCTAGAACTCTGTGGTGTTAACAGAATTCTTCACTATAGTTTACCCATTTTTAAGTCAATCTCTCCTAAGGCTAAGGCTGAGAATATATGCCACAAAACTCTATTGTCCAACAAAACCTTTATTTATGGTGAGAAACTAATGTTACTCCATTTTTGAGAAACCAGCCTCTACCTCAGAGCAAAGCCTGTCCAAGGAAGGGCGTGACCCTTGTCATTGGAAAAACCCCCAGAGCACTCTAAGCACATACCCACCCTGCTGAGTTGTTTGTCTCTAACTATCAGGAGAGGTCTGAGGGCTAGGTGTCCCTGACTCAGTTAGGCTAGGAGAGGACCCAAAGCAACCCCCCTAGCAACCACCAATCAGCATAAGACAGGGAAAATACCTGGAATGCAAGATGACCCCCAAGTAGTTTATGGTGGTTGATAACATGTTAGGAAACCAAGTAGTTTAGCACGTACACCCCTCATGGCCGAAACCAATCAGTTCAAAGGAATCCCCCTCTTGTACTAACCAATCACCTCTACCCAACTTGTTCTCGCCCTTGAATGTGCTAATCAATGTTTAAGAGTTGTTGTTTGATTTTCCCGCAGTATGGAATGATTTACTATGATGTTGGGACATATAGAGTATCCCCCAAAACCTAAAAAATCTCACTGAACAAAGATCCCTGGGACCTCTGCATCGGGAACGGGAACGGGAACGGTTGTGAGTCCAGGCTACAGCTTGCAATAAAGACTCTTGTTTGCTTGCATCGGATTCAGCTCCTGGAGGTCTATTAGGGTCCCACGAATCTGGCATAACAATGGAAGTTACACTGTCAAGTTTTTCTTGTTCCCCAGGCTGCCCTGGAGGTTTGGACCTTTACCAGCTGCACACTCATGACAGAATGGCTTCAGAAAAGTTTTAAGTTTAACAGATTTTTGTCTTTTGATTGAGACACAGTTACTGTCCGCTACTAGGCCTAAAAACGCACCTTGACAGCAAATTCAAGTGGTGACTCTTTGGGCTGATGGCTTATTTTTAAAAATCAGAAGAGAAATTGCACTTGCCTTATTCCAATTCTGTTTTTCACCTGTTGTTTGTTCTAGAATCCTCACTAAAGTTTTGATCCTCTTGGCTTTTCAGATACTGACTCTTTAAGTATTCTTTGTGACAGGAGAAACAAAAGCTCTGGGTTCCTACAGCTTACCTTTTCAAAGGTGGGGAAGTAACGGGTTTTAGCTTTCTTCATAATTTCAGCATAATTTTCCTCTTTCTCCTTGGGGGGTTGGAATGCAGCTCGCGCAATCATTATCATCAGGTCCAGGGTGCCATCAGTGTACATGTCAATCCTGACAAAACAGATACATGGTTTCCTGGTCTAACACTCCATGGTATATTAAATAGTCATCGGAACAAACAATTTTTGATTCTTCCCTTAAGCTTCCATTCTCATCAGTAATTTTGGGTACCAGATCCAGCCAAGTAATGTAGTAGGGTCTCTGGAAATGTTTATTGAATATAAGGATGTATGAAAAAAAATTGATGAAATCACAGTTGTATGTACACATAAATATTACCACAATAAAATCCACTGTCCTGATAAACAATGCACCAATTAAATGCACCAATTTAAAAAACAGAATTGATGGATGCCTTTAAGTTGAAATCTGCCATAAGCAAACGCTTGGATTATTATGGTTTTAAAAACTGAACTCATAAATTTATCAAAAGTACAAAACTTTTAATACTAAAACTTTCTCATCAATTTAGAGGAGATAGATTATTTAACAGGTCTTCCATAGACCTAGAAACTAAGAAAGCTAGGCAGGTCACATAAACAGTTTGGTTTTCATTCCCTTTAAAAATTTTTTTTCATTGAAAAGCACTCTTTTAAAAGACATTTTTTAAAAAACCAATAAAAGTAGATGCATCACAATTATTTACTGGCCAACTAGTGCATTGGGTTGCTGTGGCAGTTTGCTCTACTGATGGTCCTTGTATCCCCCATTATGTGTCAAGTATTCAAAAAATTTAGTTTAATGATTTTCTGTAGTCTATCTTTGCTTTTAACAGCACACAAAAGAATAATGAATTTGGATTACAAATCATTTTTCTTCCATGTTAGATTGCCATCTGACCCACTTGTCTATTATAGTCTATGCCTAATCTAAAGAAATAATATCAATGATTTTGTCTGAAGCTGAGCGCACACATCTTAAAGGAAAGAAAACAATGAAAAATACACATCAAAACAATGAGAAAGAGACTGCTTTTGCATATAAATACTTATTTACATGGTTACAGAGGGCTTCATTCACACAGTTTGACATTGCTCCCTAGGCCATGTAGGTTTGGGATTGCAGGCTGAAATGACAAACCTGTCTTAAAGATGGAGAGGTGGGAAAGTTGGGTGGGCTTTTCCTTTTTATGGACTTTGTACATTTCTACTTTATGCACTTGCTCTCCTTTTTCTAAACACTGAACTTGGCTTTGTTCTAGCTTGTCTTCTATGTACACTAACCATCCTACCATTCCACATTTATGGTAATAAGATTTTAGGAACCAAAGAAAAGGCCACTTGACCCAAAATCCAGATAAAGTTTTATAGTTGCAAGTCTTTGTTTTGTCTTAAGTCTACTTATTCACCATGAAACTATTCTTTAGGCCTAATAATCCAATCATCCTCTGTTAGGGCTAGCAAGGTGGACCGCAGAGAAGATGCTTATGTTACATAGATGGGAGGTGGGGGATGGCGGCAATCCTTCACCCTCCAATAGATATATGAGGAGTCTTGGCAGCTCCTCCCATCCGAGGTGAGGCCTATTTCCCAGGCTGACCCTGTGACCTTCTCTGACTAATAAAATGAGGTGAAAATGATGAGGAACCAGTTCTGAGCCCAGAAATTAAGAAGTCTGTGTACTTTCACTCTTCCTCTCAGAACCCTGCCTAGCTACCATGAGGACAAGCTCAAGATGAAAGAATGAGAGACACATGGCCCTTTTCTCTCCCAAAAGTCAGCCAACACCCAAAGCGAGAGACACATGGTTACTTTTTGGCTGACCACATCATATGACTGAGGCCTGTTGGGGTAAGTCAAGTGTGGCCCAGAAAAACCAACCACTAAGATGACCCATAGACAAGTGGGCAATAATAAATGCTTGTTGCTTTAAGTTGTTCTGTTTCACCTTCTTTCTTTATATTGAAGCACCAGAGATTAAATGTAGGGCATGCTATAACCACTGAGTTATACCGCAGCCCCAAATCACTGTATCAAGATGATATGTTATACAGTGTTGCTTATGATCAATAGATCATTGATAAAATGCTCAATATTTATTTGCCAAACCAGCTACTTCCACCTTTATGTAGAATCATTTACCAAGTCATCTTCTGAAAACATATGTTGCTAGTAGAGAATATGAGAATGCTACATGCAGACCACTATGAAGTACACGCACAAACAAGGGGAGATGTGGAATATTTGTTCAGAATTCTACATAAGACATACCAGGTCTAGCACAGCATGTCCCCATTGTCCCCCTAGCTTTCTCCTTTCAGTCCAGGCTGAAAGGTACACTTGAACTAGGTCTCAGTTGATGCAGCACTGCAGAAGCTTGAACAAAATTCAAGTACAGGAATGAACAGTATGGTACCTGACTCTCTCCTTCAGGTCCTTTCCATACAAGTTGTACTTGGCAGCAAGATAGCTGAGGATAGCTCTAGTCTGTGTCAGCATCATTCCATCAATTTCAACCAAAGGCACTTGGCCAAAAAGCAGGCATCCATCTGTAGTTTGAACAAAGAAAGGGTAAGACATTCTTTGACGAAGGATAGTCCACTGAGTGATTTTTGGTTTTCAGCCAAAGTGATGAGTTACAGATCCCAGTAATTGAGGAAATGCCTACTGTTTGCTGCAGTAGCAATAGTGTCTATCTAGCAAGATTTTGGCATCAGATTCACCATTTTAGGTAGGGAGCCATTTTTAGTTATAGGTGGACATGATATCTTTATTTTATCTTCATGTGGTGCTGAGGATCGAACCCAGTGCTTCATGCATGGTAGGCAAGTGCTTTACCTCTGAGCCACAACCCCAGCCCTCCAACAATATTTTGGAAAGATAAAATGAGATCTTTAAAAGACAAAATTTTAAATGCATTTTATTGTATTTTTGTGTGCTGATCAATCTTGATTTTTAAAGACTTTCCACATTAACTGTGTTAGAGTATAAGTGTTTCTGGTTCTCAACATTTAGGCTGAATAAATCTGTGGTGAGGGTTGTTAAAAAATGCCCTCCCCATTCCTCAGGGAAGGAGTCTGGGATTCTGCATTCTTCCCAAAGTACATCTGGTCTCATGCAAAGCATCCACAGCTGCATAATGGACGTGACAGCAAGAACCCAGGCACACCTGGGTTCAATGTCGGCTTCAGCCCCCTTCAGCCATGTGTCTTTGGACAAATTACTTATCTAAACTTGAGATTGCTGTCTCTAAAATAGCAGTAGTGTCTATCTAGGAGGATTTTGAGAAGATAAAACGAGATATGTAAAAGACAAACACTGCCAATAATATCCAGTGAAATAAAAATTAAATTCTCTTTTTTTTTGTAACTAATTGCCTACATACATAAGTCAAGCACTGCTCAATGATGGGAATCTAGTCTGAGAACTGTACTGTGAAGCAGGTTTATCATGGTATGAACATCATAGAGTGTACCTATACAACCTAAGATGACTATGATCTCATTAGGCGATATAATCGTAGGGGACTACCATTATATATGTGGTCCATTGTCAACCAAAACATCATTGTGCAGTGTATGACTACTGTGCATTTGAGATAGATTCTAAATGGTGCTCTTTTCATGGAGTCTTGAAGAAATGAATAGCTATTGAATTTCTACAATATCTGCACATTGTTGTAAGAAATGTTATCTAGAATAGGAATCAGACTTCACTAGTGCATTGGCAAAGATCTGGGTTGATTCCCCCAACTTCTAATGGTGTTCCTATTAGATTCAATGGGAGGCAGTAGAAGACTGTGGGAAGAATACCCCCCAAACCAGTGACAGCTGCTGAGAACCAGTGTCTCTTTCTACTTAAATGAATTAGGCAAGTCTTTGACTTCTCTGAGCCTATTTTCCAATCTGTAAGTATCTGTCCTGCCGTCTTACCCTGTTTCTTTGAATAAGTTAAAGCTTTGGAAATATTAGTACTATTGTTAATGGGGAGGATACAAAGCCTCCATTCTCTGAAGGTATTTTCACATTTGTTCAATATTGAATGAACCCCTAACAGCTGGGCATGTGCTACTGCTTGTGAGTGGCACAAACATTAAATTACTACTGATGCCCACTTCTAGGAGTTGATGATCTTAGGCCGATTTTTTAAATCTCAGATTTAGAGGGCAGGAAAGGGTCTTTGATATCGCTTAGTTTAATTCCCTCATTTTATAGAAGACACTGCCGAGGCCAAGAGATGTGAATGTGATTTGCCCAAATTCATACAGTTCAGGGATGTCGAGGCCAACAGAAGTGGGCCTTCTGACTCATCTGGCGCTCTCTGCTGTGCCTCCCTGCTTCCTGTTCACAAACAACGGTAAGGCCCAGGAGAATGTTCCCAGTGCAATAGCTGCCCCACAGGCTCAGGAAGGACTGGGTATGTCAGAGACTGTTAGGGAGCACTTCCTGCCAGAATGTTCATGGAATGGCATATGGAACTAGTCACTTACTCAATTTGTATATATTTAGCCCATACTTGTATCAGGGGCTCTCCTTGCTTGGAGTGGAATAAGGCAGAAATAAAGAGGAATAACAGACAATAAGGTTCCTGAACAAGAATCAGGGAAAGGATAACCAGACCTCCCCCCACGTCACTAAGATCTACTGGTTACACTGTAATCTACCACCACTGAGATTATTTTTATTTTATGGAGAAGAGACAGAGAGGCAGAGAAGTTAAAAGTCTTGTCCAGAATCAAACAGTTTATCAGTGACAGTCTGCTAACGACTGGCTGAACGGCCTTCTGAAAAATAATTTGTACAAACGTCATGATTGTTTATCAACAACAGTGGGGATGCTCGCTTGTGTTTTCTTTGATAAGGACAATAACATTGTGTCTGTTAGAAACTTAAGAAATACTATTAAAATGCTAGACTTTTCTCCCAGTGTGGGAAATTTTCCTAGGGAATTGTAATAATTAAGGTCTTTTTCTTTGGTCAATATTTAGTGAAAAAAAAAATCAAATATTTTCCACTGAGTTCTACATTGTGGATTATCTATTATGATTTGATAAAAAATGGTTTCTGTTAATCTAAGAAAAAAAATTTAATGTGAACTGTGAGAAGTAGAGAATACTCCCTCAAGCTTCCTCCCCTGGGTGAGCATTTAAGAATTCTCAAAAGTGTTCTTCAGTGGGAGGGGATTATTGAGCATTCAGCACTGCTGAGTCCAGGCTTAATTGAGTTTCCCACCATAACCTCCTTGATGAGTATTTGTGAAGGCCAAATTGCTGATGCAGAGAAGGCATCTAGCTGTACGCCAGGGACATAGGAACCCATCAATCAATGTTAGCCAGCATGCTGTGTGCTAGCCTTTTCTCATAGCTGACATTCTCCAGCCCCGTGTTCTATATCAGAATGAATGTTTCCAGAAACAAGTTTCTATTTTTTCTAATAACATTGAATTAACCTAGACTCACCTTTCTGCAACTTCTCATAATGTTCTCTTGTTTCAATAAATTCTTCTTCAAACTAGATAAAAACAGAGACATTATTGTAACTTTATGACAAACTTCCCTATCTACAGCAACTCCACCACTCATGAAGCAAGGATTCTAAGATTACTGTCTTTAAGGCAAGGTTCTTGATGGAATGTAAATATTGACTCAAAGAGGAGCAGGGCAGTTTGGGGACATGTGATTAAGACTGGGACTAACTAGTGAAACACCTAGGGCATAAGAGCTAAGGTCTGAGAAGTCGTGCCTCCCTAAATTCTGCACTGTAGGTGCTTCACTCACCTGACCCTCAGCCTGATCCATCATAAGTCTATACTTGCACGACAAAAAACAATTTTGAGACACTTAAGAGAAGTCAGTGGAGAGGGAATTCAGTGTTAAGGGATGGTCCCACAGGGGAGAACTTAGCTGGGTGTAAGGTTCCAGCTGGTGGCCATGAGTATTACATGACTGAGGTGCTGTAGTCAGACAGAAATGACCCCCCAAAATCAGCTGGTCCCAGTGGAGAAGATGAGTCAGAGTGGGTCTCCTCTCTCTCCTTAATCTTGAGATCCACTAAGATCCTTTCATTCCTACAAAGCTTCCAGATCACTTCCAGATCCCCAACTCCTTTCCTCCCCCTCCCCCTCCCTTATCTCTTAAAAGGAAAACAGTTGGAAAGGGAAAGAGTAGATACAACTTGAAGGCACAATCCTGAATTTTGAAGGGGGAAGGGAGACTGCTCACCCACCCAGATACCGTACTTCCTCTTCCCAATCAGGAACCAACCTCCACTCCAGCTGCAGCCAGCAGCCAGCGGATGGACTCCATCCTGCCTCGGCCATTAAAGTAGTAGAGCTTGGGTTTGGCTGCCATGACTCTTGGCTCAGAGTTTCCTAAAGGGGAAAATTTTAAAAAAGAAAATGACTTTTAAAGAACTAACTAACTAGTTAAAAGTAACTAACACACACCATGTTATGTCTTCATTTATAGCAAAGTTAAAGCACATAAAACAAACCTACACTGTAGAGACTCAAACACAGGAGGTAAAACTATGAGGAAAAGTAAGAAATAAATATCACAGAAATAGGATAGAAGTTACCACTTGGGAGGAGAAGGGGGTTGCAACTGGGGAGGGACATTTGAGATTCTATGATGCCAGCGATGTTCTATTTCATGAGCAGAATTAGTAGCCTTTATAATTAGTCATTAAATTGTGCATAAAATACTCTCTAAGTGGACTAGGTCAAAATTTTAGAAAGATCAAACTATTCATATCAAGGCATCAAGGTATTTCTGTAGATTTGAAAGATGTTCTCTGATATTTGCTGAAAGATATCAGGAGTTAATATAATGGTTTCATGAATTTCTGTAAAAGAAAACCTTTTCTAACAGCAACAAGGAGGCATTTGGGTTGAAGCATTCTGTGGGAACGGGGATGGTTTGGCTGCTGTCACAAGATTTCCTGGAGCACTGATACAAGCACAAACGCAGGCCTAGACAGGACCTAGATTCAGGTTCTTTCCTGGCCATCAACAAGCTGGGTAACCTTAGATCTCATTCGCTTAACCTCTGTCTGCCAACAGGTCCTTACCTGCAACTGGGAAGAATTTCCCAGCACGATCTGCAGCCTTCAAAGAGAGTCCATAAAGCCCTTGTACCTAATAGTATTTCTACCTCACTGTTGCCAGAGCCCAACATGGCTGTTGTTAGTGACTGTACCTGTTTCACAGGATTATTGCAGTGATCATATGAGATAAAATAAGGAGCTTTGAAGGTACTATAACTCTTTGGTCTCCTTTTTTCACCTTTGCCCCTCCTACTCTATATACAACAATGCACACTTCATTTAAAGGCATAGCAAAAGATACCAACTTCTGGCACAGTGCCTGTGGTACTTGGCTCAGAAGGTGCTCAGGAGGCACTGAGGAGCACATCCACGGAGACGCTATGCTGCCCTGGCTGCCAAGAGAGCACTTCCCATGGTCCCCAAACCAGAAAGAGGCCAAACCACCTCGCTAAAATCCAATTTGAGGAAGTTACCTGCACAAATAGGACTCAAGACATTAAAAATCTGGAATATCAGTAACTTCATTAATGATATGAAAGTTAACTATTAAACACACAATCGTGTGACAGCAAAGTCCACAAGGTTCACAAAATCGTTTAGGTGCATGGAAGCCATTCTTCCTCACGGCTGTCCCGTTTCGTTCATATTAGATCTACTTACAGCTTAACTCTTTGAGAAGTTTGATTCCTTTCTTATCTCAGGGAACTATCTATATTGGGTTGCTGTCAAGATTCAGTCCTTTTAAATTGCCTCTTTAGCTACAGCATATTGAATATTTCAGGAGCTTCTTAAAAAAAACAGAATCAACCATTGAATGTCTTCGGAGACACTAAAGGAAAAAAGTCACTTTGTTAACCAGAATTCCCTGATTAGAGAAACCATGTTTAGGTTCAGTGACTCGCTAATGAACCAGGAAATGAACCTTAAAATACAGTGACTGTGGAGAGCAGATGAGAAGAGGAAAGAAGGGAGAGCATGCTCTCTCCTGATCCTCTCCTCAATCTAAGAACTTCTGAGTCCTCTGATCTCCCCCAGTGTCCCACGTAGAATGGTGAAGGAGCAACCTTCACCTGTTTGAAACATCGTATCTATTCAATTAATATACATATTATTATTTGCCAATTAAAATAAATTTTAGAAATTTTGGAATAAAAACAAAGAGGAGGGCACAGGAATTCACAAACCTGCTAAGGACACTTCAGGACAAACACACACAGGAAGAAATTAGCCAGGCACTGACCAGTTCATAGGAAGTCAGCAACACCAAAAAAACAATGGGGCAAATTAACAAGTCTTATTCAGAGAACCCCCTGCAGGTCTCCATCCTGCTGCCTTCAAACAAAAAAATAAAGCAATCTTGGTGAAGTTCATGTTGGGGTTTCACTTGGGAAGTGCCATCTGTCTATTGTCCTTTGGGTGCATAGAGCTCAGACTACTTAAACTGCACCTACTCTGAGAGGTGGAGATAGAGCTGTAAATTTGGCTGGGGGTGGGTCTGGTTATTTCTTTGGTTCTATCTCCCTGAAACCCTTAACTGGACCAAATTGTGTTTGAAATAAATCCTAGGGTTAAAAAAAAAAAAATGAAGGGCACAGGAAAGACTGCTGAAATTGAAACCTCCTTTTTTTCAGTGATTCTGTTCTACTCTCCCAGTTATCCTTTGGTTTACCCTGTGGATCTAGACAATGGCATTTCTGATGGTTTCCAGAAAGCTGTTTTTAAGCAGTGAGTGGGTCACTTAAAATGCAGAATGGCTGGCTATTCTCCTGTCTGATCATTCTCTTAGTGATTTAAAACCTAGAAAAATTAAACTCTCCACTCTTGCTTGCCCTGGGAAGACTGGTACCTAATGAACCACTGGGTGTCATGACTTGTAGACTCCAGATAGCATATTTGTCCCAGAGACTTGGTCAAGAGTGAGACTTTAATGACTGTGTAGGGTACCAGTGGATGAAATCTCAGACAAAAGGAGAGGCAGCAAAATGCACCCTGAATTGATCCAGAATGGAGCCGGCTTCTTGCTGACATTCCAGCATCAACACTCAAAGGGATGCAGAAATATCGACCCTCAGAGGTGAAGGAATACACTAGTGGGAAGCTGGTCCATGAGGGGATTGTGAGTCTGGGTACCATTCATGGATCTTTTGTTCTCTTTTGAGAGAGACATAGTCACCAGACAAGAAGGGAAACTTCTGCTTGTTGAGATATAACCTGGGTGTGAATTAATAGCATCTCTCTGGCTTGACAAGGGAAGGCAGAGTGAGAAAGAGAGGGCCCAGGTGTGAATCTGATCCTTCACTGGCTCCCATGGCAACAGCACCCATATTATATCCAATGAACATAAGTGGGTGTTAATAGGCCATCCTTTCTTTTTGTCCAATTTTTATTGTTTCATTATAGTTGTACATAATGGTAGGATTCGTTACATGCACACAATATCATTCTATCCCTCCGTTCAAAGGCAGGAAGAATCTCTGGGCTCTTGAGTTATGAGTCCTCACTGTTGCTAGGCAAACTTATCCCACCTCTCCAAACCTCAATCTCTGAATTTTAAATGAGAGTGGAAGTTATACTGCTCTCCTTGGAAGGTTTTCATGAAGACTGAGGGTTGAATAAAGTAAAAGATAAAATCATACCCCAGTATCATTTCAGGTATAGTCCCCATGCTTTTTTGAATGAATTACAAACCAATTTAGTGCTGTCTAACATTTCTTTTGTAAAGACTGGATTGTCTGTTTTAGATGTCATTTATAAAGGTTCAAATGCAATGGCTATGTCATAAAAGGGGGCGTGGAAAACTTGGAAATTTGACCCCGCATTACAATATAAAATATTTAAAAAGTAAAATCCAATGTGGTTTTTATCTTCATGCTGTGATGTTTTAAGCTTGATTAGAGCATTGTTGTGGTCTGCTGGTCTATGGGAGTTTGTTTTGGAATTTCATTCAATGGTTTTGTGCCAGCATGGTTTCTCCCACTTCATTTCTGCCTGTTCCTTCCATTTTTCAGGCACAGATTCAGGGATGTAGCATTAGAGGACAAGATGTCCTCTAATAATCAGCAACTCAAATGATAACTATCAGCACTATTGTGAAAGTCCCAGCAAATGTTTGTTGCTCCATAATTAGCTGGCTCTGGCCAGTCCCTGTTACTGGCCTCTCAGCCTGGGACTAACAGTGTTTTACATTAGTCTTGCAGGGTGGAGGATGGATGGATAAGCAAAAAAGCATTTTCAAGACACCAGTCCCCATCTGAACCCCTCCCAGGAGGAGCTGTTCCTTCTAAAACAATGCTAAGCCCAGAGAAGAGCCCTTACCTCTTACACTCTCATACCCAGCCAAGATCCAACTGTTCTCCCTGGATTCTATGTTGTAAAATTATATGGAAGTGACAAGCTCTTAGGACGCAGGGGTCATATTATATTTCATCCTCTATAAAACCAGTCCAGCATTATCCCAGACACTGTGAATGTATAACATACACTGTTGGTACTGTCAATGTGCCATTTGGAGTTACCAGTTTCTAACCCTGTTGAGATTCCTTTCTTCAATATTTCATTTTTTCTTTCAACCTCAAATACGTATTGAACTCTTACTATGTTTCCTTACGAGGTGTTATGGTTTGGATGTGAGACAATGCAAGAAGGTTTAGAGGAGAAACTATTGGGCTATGAGGTCCTTAACCCAATCAGTGAATTAATCCCCTAATGGGGATTAACTGAGTGGTAACTGAAGGCTGGTAGGGTGTGGCTGGAGGAGGTAGGCAGTGCATGGCTTTGGGGTATTTTGTATCTGGTGAGAGGAGTCTCTCTCTCTCTCTCTCTCTCTCTCTCTCTCTCTCTCTCTCTCTCTCTCTCCTTTCTGATCATCGTGTGAGCTGCTTCCCTCTGCCACAATCTTCTGCCATGAAGTTCAGCTTCACCTCGAACCAGCTGTCTGTGGACTGAGACCTCTGAAACTATGATTCCGCAAATAAACTTTTTTTCCTCTAAAATTATTCTAGTTTGTCCTTTAGTCAGACCAGCAAAATAGCTGAATAAAATGCTAGTCAAGGAACTCTAGGCACACAAAGATTAGTAAAGTGTATTTCCTGTCATCGAAAACATCCAGCCTACGATGAGGCAAGTCAAAATGAAATAAATGTTTAGTGAAAACGCAACATGGGGCTGGAGGTGTAGCTCAGTGGTAGAGCACTTGCCTAGCATGAGAAGGCTTTGTGCTCAATCTCCAGCCAAAGAGCAGGTGGTGACAATACAGGATGGATGGTATTATAGGAATTAAACAGAGTCTCACAGAGTGAGTGTAAGTATCCATTTGTCTGGCCTCCACCCCTTCCTGTTTTAAAGCATAGATCCTCTAATCATTTTTTTTTTGACTAAACAAAGATTAAGAAAAATCACAGGTTGCTAATTGTTGATAAGGCAGAAGATCAAGATTCCTTATGCTTCAAAAAATAGATCTAATGATCTCAAAGTCCACAGTGAGAACATAGAAAAAAACCAGGTGCAATGAAAATATTAATTCCATCTCTGGGAAATGAAAGAAACAAAGAAGCAGTACTTTCTGGATTTTGCCCAAATGCCAATACCCCGAAAACTCTGCTGCTGGAGAACACAGAATCTGAGTATTCCAACTAGGCATAAACCCATGCCTATTTCTTCAACTCTGATCTTTTTGCCTCTGCTTTTGGCCAAAAGATGTGTCCTGAATTAAACAAAACTGGAGCCAGGACAGTGGCGCACACCTATAATCTCAGAGACTCAGGAGGTTGAGGCAGGAGGATTCAGCAACTGTGGTGAGGCACTTGCAACTCAGTGAGACCTTCTCACTAAAATACAAAAAAGAGCTGGGGATGTGGCCCAGTGGTTAAACACCCCTGGGTTCAATCCCTGGTACCAAAAACAAATTAACAAAGAAAAATGGGATTACCAAGTAGGCTTCTTACATGGGTCTTATGACATTGGAAGTCAGCCCCATCCTTCAGGGTTCCAAACTCCAACTGCATGTAGCTTCACCTGAGGTGCAGTAGGAAGCACTTTGCCACCCCTAGAGCCCCAGGTACACATCTCAGGTGGGCTGAGAAGAAAGTAGTGATGGTGACATGGCAATCTTTGGCTGGGTGGAGTATGATACTTTGATTTAAAAAAAAAAAAAATGGGACCAAAAGCTTTTAGAAACACAATCACCTGACTAAGGCGCGGGGTACCAGTTCAAATCGCAGCTATATCTATGTGTTGAACAATTATCTTAACCTCTGTGAGCCTCAGTTTTTCTCATTTGTGCAGCAAGTCTAATTTGTTTGGTTGGTTATGAGGCTGAAATGCAATAACATGTACTTACTGCAGAACATAGTAAGGACCTAAAATGTGGCCCCACATCCACAGATTATGGCAACATTCACATGTGAGAAAAGAAGTCCAAATTGCTTTTGTTAGAAGTGGACAACATTCGCTAGAAGTATGATTTTGGACTAGCAGTGGCAACTTCTGGGAACCTGTTAGAAATGCAGGATCTCAGTCCCTGGTCCAGGCCAGTGAATCAGAGTCTGCATGTTGAACAAGGTCACCAACAGGCATATGAAAGCAAAGTTCGAGAAACTGAGCCTACGGTAAAAAATCAACTGATCTGTCCTAGGGGCCCTGGACTGTTCTTCAGGAATGCTGGGAAGGTAAATGTGGAAGGACCTGATGCTGTAAAAGTATAGTGAAAAATGGTGAAGTGCTAGAGTTGTGAGTGGCTGAGGAGAGAGCACATTCAGAGGAGAAGAAATTTTGGAAAATTCTAAGTAAATTCCCCATGTCAATTCATTGGCCTTCTTTCAAGAATGGAATTCCTGCAATTCAAAGTTCCCATTCAATTCCCAGATTCAACAAAGTACCAGCTGCTGGGACTCAGACATGGGCAAGGTCAGAAAGAGATGTCAGTTTCCTCAACTATAAAATGAGGAGTTGGTCTGGAATTAGATCATCTCCTTAGTTTCTTCCATGCCCTCATTCTGTGTCCTATGTTCTTATCTGCAGAACAAACATCTTGAGAAGGCAGATAGCCTCTTGGGGTAAAATTTTACTGACAATGTTAACAATTATTCTGGATAATTTAGACAAAAGATGTTTTTTCTCAATTATATGAATAAGTAAAAATAGGCTGGATAATAAAACTTATAAGGTGTCAACTTGAGAGATTGCCATTTCTAAAGTAACCAGTCAATATAGTCTGCTACATGAAACTCAAATATTGATATGACATAGTTACTTCACAACCAACCATGCAATATTACTGTGGGGAGAGGGTTGTTATTTTTGTAGTACAGTGATTGAGGAGATAGATTCATCCCAAGCTCATCTACTTATATTTAATATATATTTAATTTTCAGAAACTAAATTTCCTAATAATTAGGGTCTAATGGATTGATTTACAGTCTCCAAACTCCCAAGGGATGGACTTTTTCCTCCATGGCTTACAAATTTACTTAAATGAGTCAAGCAAGAGACTTTTATCTACCCAGCTTCTTAACACTGCCTAAATAAAGTGTACCACCATATGACCCATTACTGTTTAAAGATTGGGACAAGTCTGAGAAAATTTGGTCAGAGTTCGACTCAAACTGCTTCTCAACTTGGCATAGTGTTCAGGACACTGGAAGAAGACCCAGTGTCAGCTCATCTGGATTAAATCTTCTAATCATACTTGGAGTAGATGCTTAGATGTAGGAAAACTTAGTTCACCCATTAGACCCTATGACCCAGTGTGGCTGGTACCTATATTCTTTTCCACTGGGTATAAAAATATCTGAGATTTAGTTACGGAGGGAAAAAAAAAACATAATGACTCAAAAATTAATACATATTTTCAAATTCTACTAAGCAGCATAGTATGTCAATCAATAATCTGAAATACCATTAAACTCATACATACCTGCTACTAGAGTCCCAAGCCAGAGGCCTGGGGCTCCCAACAAATTAGGTCTAGCTACTGGCCCCCAAAACCAAATGATGAAAAGCAGAAAAGGAACATTAATCAATAAGGCCATATTGAGAAGGCAAAGTGAGTTCTACGGTCTCATGGGGAGCTGATATAAGCTTTAAGTTTAAATAGAGGAAGAATTGGGGCAGGGGGTGAGAGGTATGCATAATTAAGAGTCTGGGTCAAATTGATCTGGTTGATCATTATCTCAATTCTGGTTCTGCAGGGTGTCTTCAGAGAGGTTCTTAGCTGAGGGAACAAAGTGCATTGACTGCTCAGGATGTTTATCAATTAGACCTGTGTTCCTGAAAGAGAGAAATTCAGTTCCCATGAGATGAATGCTCCTGTTTAGAGGGGCAGTCTCATGAGATAAACTGTGTGGAAGGTCCCACAATTCCTGGAAGCTTTAAAACAATGACTATGGACTTCTAGGTGCCATTCCAGGGGTCTAGAACAGGACATGGTAAAAGCAGGCAGTTGAATGTCCCTGGAAATATCTTTTTTACTTTTATCTTGGTGTCCTCAGTCTTGAAGGGAGATGAAATAAGTTAGATTAGGTAAATTTATGGCTAAAAAATCCTGTATTAGCATGCCTACATGCAAAGCTGACTCAGAGTTTGAAGTAACAAAGGAGTCAGACAACAAAGAGAAGGCAGAGATGCCAGGCTTTAACCTGCTTTTAGTCACCCACCTGCAGGCCTAAGCAAAGAGTCAGTGCTTTTAGCAGAGAAGCTTCTAATTCTCTATTGTGTATTTATTTTTGAAATTATGTTTAATATATGATAGGGGTGGGGGAACATTTTAATGTCTGATACTATATTATGCACAGGCAATGGAATACTTCAAAAGGGCCTTATCTATATATACATTTACTAGCCTTTTCATTTAAGTATCTGCTCTGCAAAACAAAACAAAAGAAAACAAAAAACAAACAAACAAAAAATCCAGAACTGTTCCTTTTATTTGATATGGTCAAGCTTTGAAATAATAAGTAATAAATTGAACATAAAGTAAACAATTGCTGACTATAAATTGCACACTTGGCAGTAAAATATAATTACCGAAGCAATTCAAGAAGCTTACATAAGAACTACATCACTAACCTTATCTCTTCTAGGCTCCTGTTCCTTCCCAGCGGCTGGAGGAGAGATTAAAGGAGGGTTCATAACACTCTCCTTTTCTATCGAAAGCTCCACCCACTCTAAGAATTAGCCAATGAGCATTCCAGTTTGTTCACATACCTCTGAGGCTTCACATTGCATTCTTTGTTCCTGTATTTCCTAGCATATCAAGTTACCCAAAGAGGAAAAATTTACTCACTCAACAAGTTTTACTCCTGCTCATTCAACAAGTACTTACTTAGTACAATTTTGTGCCTGGCAGTATTGCAGGTGTTGGTGAAACAAAGGTGTACATGATCCATCCAGTTCCTCCACCTGGGGGGCTCACATTCTAGTCAGGGAAGACAGGCAATATAAGCATATATTTAAAATTTTTGTTTTTAAAAAATTAATAATAACAACATCATATGATGGATGATTATGGCTTGTGCATAGTGAATTGTACAAGAGTTATAGGGTCTGGAGGGGGAGGAAGAATAGGAGCACTGTGTTTTAGTCTGTTTTGTGATGCTGTAACAGAATACTTGAGACTGGGAAATTTAGGAAAAAAAAACCCAGAAACTTGTATTTTATTTATTACAGTCCTGGAGGTTGGCAAATCCAAGGTGAAGAGGCCAGCATCTTGTTGCTTTATCCAATGGTAGAAGGTAAAATGAAGAGAATCACTTGCACAGAAGAGTGAGAAAGAAAGAAAGAAAGTAGGGAAGGGGGCCAACTTCTTCTTCTTCTTCTTCTTCTTCTTTTTTTTTTTTTTTTTTTTTTTTTGTTTCAGGGATGCTTAACCACTGAGCCAGTCCTTTTTTGTTTGTTTTTAAATTTTGAGACAGAATCTCATTAAGTTGCTCAAGGCCTTGCTAAGTTGCTGAGCCTGGCTTTGATCTTGCAATCCTCCTGTCTTAGCCTCCTGAGCTGCTAGAATTAAAGGCATTGCCTAGCTTCATTCTTTTATTAGGCACCCTCTGTTGAGAAAAGTAACACTCCTCAAATAATGGCATTAGTCCACTCATAAAGGCAGAGCCTTCATGATCTAGTCACCTCTTAGAGGTCTCACCCCTTAAGGGTTGCACTGGGGATTAGGTTTTTAGGTTTTCAACACACAGACTTGGACACATATTCGCACTACAGCAGGTGTCATGAAGTACCTGTGAAGTCATGTAGTATTCTTTGAAAATGGTCTCAAAAAAAAAAAAACATAAAATACTTGGGAATAAATTTAAGGAAAGAGGTGAAAGACCTCTAAAATGAAAACTACAACATGCTAAAGAAAGAAAATAAAAGAAGACCTTAGAAGATGGAAAGATCTACCTGTTCTTGAAGAGGCAGAATTAATATTGTCAAAATATCCATACTACCAAAAGCACTAGACAGTTTCAATGAAATACCAATCAAAATCCCAATGGCCTTCCTTATAGAAATAGATAAAGCAATCATGAAATTCATCTGGAAAAATAAGAGACCCAGAATAGCCAAAGCAATCCTTAGCAAGAAGAGTGAAGCTGGTGGCATTACTATTCCAGACCTAAAACTATACTACAGAGCAATAGTAACAAAAACAACATGGTATTGGCACTAAAATAGACTGGTAGACCAATGGTACAGAATAGAGGACATAGAGTCTAACCCACATAACTTCAGTTATATTATACTAGACAAAGGCTCTAAACTGTACATTGGGGAAAGATAGCTTCTTCAATGAATGGTGCTGGGAAACTGAAAATTCATATGTATCAAAATGAAATTAACCCCTATCTCTCACCATGCACAAAACTCAACTCAAAGTAGATTAAGGACCTAGGAATTAAAACAGGCCCAAATCTCTATCATGTCAGATTAGGCCCCAACTTTCCTAATAAAACTCCTGTAGCTCAAGAATTAAAACCAAGAATCAATAAATGGGATGGGATGGATTCAAACTAAAAAGCTTCTTCTCAGCAAAAGAAACAATCAATGAGGTAAACTCTAACATATCATCTCACTCCAGTCAGAATGACAGCTATTTTGAAGACAAACAACAATAAGTGTTGGCGAGGATGTGAGGAAAAAGGTACACTCATACATTGCTGGTGGGACTGCAAATTGGTGCAGCCAATATGGAAAGCAGTATGGTGATTCCTTGGAAAATGGCAAGTGGAACCACCATTTGACCCAGCTATCCCTCTCCTTGGACTATACCCAAAGGATGTAAAAACAGCATACTATAGGGACACAGCTACATCAATGTTTATAGCAGCAAAATTCACTATAGCTACACTGTTGAGCCAACCTAGATGTTCTTCAGTGGATGAATGGATAAAAAAATGTGGCATATATACATAATGGAATTTTACTCAGCAATAAAAGGGAATAAAATCATGGCATTTACAGGTAAATGGATGGCATTGGAGAAGATAGTGCTAAGTGAAGTTAGCCAATCCCAAAGAAACAAATGCTGAATGTTTTCTCTGATATAAGGAAGGTGACTCATAGTGGGATAGGGAGGGAGAACATGGGAGGATTAGATGAATTCTAGATAGGGTAGAGGGGTGGGAGGGAAAGTGAGGGGGAAGGGGATTAGCAAGGATGGTGGAATGTGATGGACATCATTATCCAAAGTACATGTATGAAGACATGAATTGAGTGTCAACATACTTTATATATAAACAGAGATATGAAAAAAATGTGGCATATATGTGTAATAAGAATTGTAATGCATTCTTCTGTTGTGTATTTTAAAAAATAAAATCAATTAAATAATAAAAAAATAACCTACAGAATGGGAGCAAATCTTTACCACAAGGACATCAGATAGAGGACTAATTACTAGACTACATAAAGAACTCAAAAAGCTAAACACCAAAAAAAAAAATCAATAAAAAACAAATAACCCAGTCAATAAATGGGCCAAGGAACTGAAGAGACACTTCGAAGAAGAGGATATACAATCAATCAACAAACATGAAAAAATGTTCAACATATCTAGCAATTAGAGAAATATAAATCAAAACTTCTCATGATTTCATCTCACTCCAGTCAGAATAGCAGCTATAAAGAATACAAACAACGGTAAGTGTTGGTGAAGATGTGGGGAAAAAGGCACACTCATACATTGCTGGTGGGACTGCAAATTGGAACAGCCAATATGGAAAGCAGTATGGAGAGTCCTTAGAAAACTGTGAATGGAACCACCATTTGACCCAGTTATCCCACTCCTCAGTTTATACCCAAAGGAAAAACAGCATACTGCAGGGACACAGCCATATCAATGTTTATAGCAGCACAAATCACAATAGCTAAGTTATGAGACCAACCTAGATCCCCTTCAGTAGATGAATGGATAGGGAAACTTTGGTGTATACACACAATGGAACATAACTCAGCATTAAAAGAGAATAAAATCATGGCATTTGCAGGTAAATAGACAAAGTTGGAGAATATATTGCTAAGTGAAGGAAGCCAATCCCAAAAAACCATAGGCAAAATGTTTTCTTTGACATAAGGATCTTGACTCATAATGGCGATTGGAGGGGGGGCATGGAAGGAATAGAGGAACTTCAGATAGGGCAATGGGGAGGGAGGGGGAAAGGAGGGGGCAAGAGAGTAGGAATGATGGTGGAATGAGTTAGACACCATTACCCTTAGTACATGTATAAGACATGAATGGTGTGAAAATACTTTATGTACCATCAGTGTCTTAAAAATTGTGCTCTATATGTGTAATATGAAATGAATTGCATTCTGGCATCATGTATAACAAATTAGAGTAAATTAAAAAATAAAATGGTCTAAGATTAGTTGTAACTATATACTGCAAACTATAAGACAACTGCTAATATATGTTTATATATTATATATGATACATATATGGATATAAGGATGTGTACATAAGTAATTAACATGTTGATGTGCAGAGTTGAGCAGAAATCTCACACAAAGCTTAAGGTAGCAAAGGAGACAGATGTGATACCAAGGCAGAGAGAGGTTTTCTATGCTGCTTTCAGTCACCTGTCAGATAAATGCAGGCCCAAGAAAAGAGTCAGTGTTTTCAGCCAAAGTATCCATTAAGTCCCTGAAAACCATCCTAGGCTAACTTTATCATCATGGTCAACACGTCAGAGGTATCATCTACAGCAACACTAGTGGGAGACTACTAATATATTGCTCAAATATGTGACTTCCAAAATTAGTCATTATTAAAGTCAACTAAAAGCAAGAGAAGTTAGAGTGTTTTCCCTATGAAAAGTTCTGTAGATCTCAGGGTCAGAGGATTCCCTCATGAACCTGTGGTACAGGGTTCTGGGCCAGGTAATTTGAGCTAAAGTAATAAAAATTACATTCAAGAATTCTGTAACAGCAAAAATAAAGGCCCTTGCCCTCTGGGGTTCACTTTATGCTCTGTACCATCCTCCAGAATTTGGTCCCTAACAACTGCTCCAGCCAGGCAGAGACAAGAGAGAATTAGCTTTCTAAAGGCACACCAGCCAAAGTCTCTCAGAGACTTTATACTGTGTCACCTGGCTCATTACATGCTGTACCTAGACACCAGTGCCATGTGCAGTCCATCATCCCTCATCATCCTAAATTCCAGAGCCTCTTCAACAATCCCATTTATGCATGCTGTGCACTTTAACGCCCTTGGTTCACCTGTCATGGGTTGGTCCTTGTCCCTGCTCTGTCTTGTGCCCTGTATTATATTGGGAGTATGCAGAAGGAGCTAAATTGGGTTCATCCATGAACATTCTAGCATGTTATATTTGAGAATAAATGATCCTGTCTCTGAACTTCTACTGTATTATCAAAGTTTGGTGACTCATGGCGATGAGACGGTGGTAGTGGCAATGGGAGGTTTGAGACTAACCAGTAGGATTAGACACCAAAAATGATGTGTGTCTCCTGAGGCAGGACAGGGGAGGAGACTGGTTTCTACTTTGGAAAGTGAATGACATCTTAAGTTCCTGGAATCATGACCAGGAAAGACATGGGAATCTGTTTTCACTGGAGACATCCTTGCCTCTTGTTTTCATTTTCCTCATCCTCTAATTAAGTGCAGAAACCAACCTTACCCTCTAGTTGTTTCCTCAAAGGGCTGGTGTCGAGAGCCCCCTTGTGTCTAAATGAATTAAAACCCCAAAGCACTGTTTGCAAAATGACTACATAGTAAGCTGTCAATTAAAATCAGGCATTAGAGGTATTAGATTGTAAAAACACACCAAGATAATAGTATAAAGTAGCCGAATTTCACTGTCATTCCATACAACTTAGTAACACAATCTCTTGAGAGTGATCAAGTCAATGTCCTGTCCCCATATGTAAATCAATCTCCGAATGAGATTGTTTCTCCTTCCAGAAGAGTTCAAAGGGAGCAGTGCAAGACTGCCCTCACTTCTGACACCAACTCCAAGTTCAAGGGCTTCCCCAAACCATCCTCAGGTTGACTAATTCACTAGACGGACTCACAGAAAGCTGTTATACTCACAGCTGTAGTTCTGTAGATCTCAGTGTCACAGGATTCCCTCATGTGGGATTTTTGTGCTGACAGAATGAGGAATCTGTGATACAGGATCCAGATGAAAATATAGCCAAGGAAAGAGATACATAGGACAGAGTCCAGGAGGTTCCAACTTAGGGCTTCTGAAGTCCTCTTTCTGTAGAGTCAAAGGCAGTGTGAATTTCTCCTGGCAATAATGTGCAACAGAACATATGGAGTACCATTAACTGGGGAAGCTCACCTGACCCCTGGTGCCCAGGATTTTCATTGTGGTCTGTGATATGGGCAAGTGAGCACCCAAGCTGGTCTGTGTTCACCCCCTCCAGAGTTGAGATGATATGACCTGACTCAAAGCCTCAACCCTGTGTCACACTGCAGGTATGGCTCAAGGTGCTTCCCCTAAACCACACCATTGTGTTGCTGTCAGCCACGAATTGCATGGGTTTAAACAGTTTCCCAGAGGCAAAGACCAGTCTCTCTCAGACCAAGGTGAAATTCTACTCATTTCCACTTTTTCTTGTGTTGGCTACTACATTTAGGGGCCTGACTGAACTGGGCCAGCTCTCAGATGCAGCCCAGGAGGAGATATTTGTTCCTCCAACTGCCTGGGTGCTGCACCTGCCACCGACTTTGGTCTTTCAGAGATTTTAAATATCACAGTGAGGAATGCTCACAAAAGACAAGTAGTGACAAGTGTTTGTGCTGGATTCCCTCTAACAGAAACACTGAGGCCTTTGTGCACAGTGACATTACCATTAATGACAGACATTATCAACCACCCTGCAAGTGTCTTTTTTTTCCTTTTTATTCTTTCTGAGCAAATGATCCTTCATATAGTGAAGGATGTATGTCCCCTCTACTAGACCCTCATCAAAAGCTTGGCTATGAAACCCTCATTGAAAATCTGCTTTTCCTGGGCTTTTTAATATCTGAGTAGTTGATATTTGAAAAGTGGCATTTCTTCCTTTTCCAAAATTCCTTTCTGTTGTCTATATGCGTATCTCCTCCACCCTGTGGTAAATTTTTCTAGAGCAGAGGCTCCATTCTATGATTCTGCCTCCTGACATTCTGCCTCGATTACCATAGGTATTCAATTAGGATTTGAGAGGCAACACACGTTTAAAGGCAGTATTAATAGACTGTACTTAGTTCTGAAATGCAAAAAATATTAGAAGCCTAGGAATAACATTTGGGTAGTGAGATGATAAAATATATTTGCATTTTCTTATACATGTGTCAAAAATAACTGGAGTAACTGTATGCTTGTTAGAGGAACTCAGTTTCTAGAAGGCAGAGTTAGAAAGAAGACTTTCAAGGCTCGCTTGATTTTTAAGCCATGTGAATATTATCTAGATTCCATAATAATTAATGAAAAGATTCTAGCAATAGGACAATAAATGGTAAATTCTTTATTTTGGCTAATATCAACTGCATTCATTACTATCATTTGACTTTAGCTCAGAGCAGACTCACTCACTAGAAGTTGAGTTGTAATAGACATTAAAAATAGGGATGAGACTGGAGAAGGGGTTTAGATATAAAGAGAGAGAAAGGAACTCAGAGGAGAACATGAGATCCTGCCAATTATCAGGATGGAATAAAACAGGACATGAGTAACTTCACCAGATCTAAGTCAAATGTCAGATTTCCCAAAAAAGGTTTTCCAAAAAGTGTCTCATAACAATTATTCACTGGACTAAAAAAAAAGGTTGACATGTTTCAAAGAGAAGATCTCCTCAACATGAAAGACCCAACGCAACACACAGCACTACAACAGAGCTGAGAGCAATTAAGATAGCACTGCAGACACAGCCATCTCTGGGGACAGGCTCCGGTTTAGAGATGGTCACATTATGGCATAAAGATGTTGTAGACGGTTCTCACGTAGATTTCATCAGGAGGGGGCTTCTTCTTGCTTCCAGGCTCAAGGAATCTCTTAATTGTAGGGAAATTACTTAATTTCACTGTGTATTCCTAAAAAAAGGAAAGCATACAAGTTCAAAGTTAAGAGCAAAAGAATTAGTAACTACGAAAATATGGTTGTATTAAATGTCTCATTAAAATTTGTTCCACCACTATCTGTTGAAGGGACCCTACCAGAACTGCAATCCAACATCTCTCTAAGGCTGATCTTGTGTAATGATTATTTGCAATCCTTGTCTCCAATGGTAAGACCAGGGTTTATGCAAAACTCATGCTTCACACAAGGATGTGAATTCTCTTCAGAGACAACAAAATTAAAAAAAACAAAAAAAAAACAAAAAAAAAAACCATACTTAGAGAACGATTGTAATACTTGGCTTAAAGAGGGAAAAAGAAAAAAAAAAGGACACAGGAAATGCTTTAAGGGCATTGATGTGCTCAGAGGACATGTATGATCCATTTACATAAGAGTGCTTCAAAAGTCATCAGATGGTACAATTTCTATTTTGATTCTGCTTCCTTGTTCTTTTTACTCCTATTAGCAAATGAGTTCTCATTTTGGCTATGTGTGGGAGATGGCCAGCGGCATGCTTCAGAGCCGGGCACTCAGACACCAGATATTTATATAAACTGTAAAGAAAGAAAAAAAAATGTGTTTTTTCACTCAGAGTCAAATCTTAAAATTTTCAGTAACTGAGAAGTTCATTTGTCTAATGAAAATTTTGAACTATATATATATGAAGCTATGTACACTAATATATGTTTTTTAAATCTTTTTAAATTATTTATTAAAAATATTTTTAATGTTTAAAACAAATCTTTAAAAATTATCTTATTAAATCATCTTACTTAAAATAAGATTTATTTTAAAATAAGGCCATTTATTTTTAAGCTACTATTAAATGCCTATTATGTGTAAGACACAGCTTAATTAAGTATACACATGAAAAACAAATACATTCACTATTAACAAAAACTCTAATGTCAATTAATACACAAATATGACAATCTTCTTTTTATTATTTACTTAAGATCTATTTGTATTATCTAATTTTGAATATTATATCAATATTTGAAGGCTTAGTCCAAATGATTTGTCATTTCAAGACTTACTTGAAGTTCCTATTTATGTAAATAAAACTTGTATGACTTTTACCTTCCCTTCAGTCAATACAGGAATACTGTTTAATCCAATCCAGATCTGCTATCAGATTCTGAAGTCCTTTAATGTTGACACTTAGTCTGCTCAGAGATTAAAGTTGTGGTTCCATATACTCGCCTTGGGTTTTAAAAGGAAGTTGTCAGCTTCATGGATATAAAATATCAAGGTCCTGGTGCCACAGTTTAACCAAAAAGCTAGATGTTTATCATTTACCCTAGACTCTTTAGATCTTTCATGTATATTCAAAGTATAGTATTTCACTGCCTATTAGTTATGTAAATCAAAAATAAAAACTTCTTTCATGTCAATTATCTTTCACCTGTAAGGATTTGAGAAACAGAAAAACAATTTCAAGTCTATAACTTAATTTCATTTTACTAAATATAATCTTTTTCTTTTGGTATCAAGAATTTAACCCACGGAACCATTGAGCCACATCCTCAGCTCTTTTTAAAAATATTTTATTTAGAGAGAGACAGGGTTTCACTAAGTTGCTTAGGGCCTCATTAAGTTGCTGAGACTGGCTTTGAACTTGTAATCCCCCTGCTTCAGCCTCTCGAGCTACTGGGATTACAGGTGACAGGTGTGTACCACCACACCAGGCTACTAAATAGAATCTAAAACTTAATCTCTTTCTATCTCTCACTTGAGCGCGCGCGCACACACACACACACACTCTCGCTCTCTCTCTCTCTCTCTCTCTCTCTCTCTCTCTCTCTCTCTCTCTCTCACCAGAAACTGAAGACAGGCCCAGAATTCTGGGCCAGTTTTATAATACACCATTCTATTTACCTGGAGGAAAGGAAATGCAGACAGGATATTAGGAATTTTCTCTTCAAGAGCCAAAATGGTCTGGAGTAGAATCACATCAGCAAGGCTTAGCTGATTACCAACAAGAAAGTTTTGTCCATGATTCCTTAAAACCTGCAGGATATAAATGGTTTACATTGGTTATGATATTTCATGTGAAAAAACTGAAGAAGCTATTTTATCAGTGTAGTATCTAAGAAGGGGTTGAAATTGTGGCCTTGCCCTTTTATCCTTTTATAACAATGGCAATGAAGAAGTAGTATCTAGTATCTAAGCAGGAGAGGAAGAGAAAGCACAAACAGGTATGGAAATTAAAGCAGCCTTAAATATCTGCTGTAGATCAGAATGAGACACTAAAAGGGGAAAAGAAAACCTCAGTTTCTGAACTTTGCATTCAGAAAAGAATAAAGCCGTTCCAGAAATGCACCTATAGCAAACAGCTGCCCATGAGTCCCTGCAGGTCAGGGAGGGGTGGAGTGATATCAGGAGCCTAAATGATACATTGTCTCCAAGGGGTCCATTCTCTTCCCGGTTCTGTGACCCTTGGGACTTGTAGTAGTAAACCAAACCTGACCATGAAAATAAACCTCACAACTTCCCAAACAGAGAGTAAATGCTTAAGTTCATCCTGACTCCATTTTGAGGGTAACACCTAGGTATGGGGATTTGTAAGAACAAATTCTGTAAGTTGTAAGAACAAATTTGTAAGAAGGGGTTGAAATTGTGGCCTTGCCCTTTTATCCTTTTATTTGTTGTTCTTACAAATTTGTAAGTTGTTATCCTTTTATTTGTTGTTCTTACAAATTTGTAAGTTGTTCTTACAAATTTGTAAGAACAAATTTGTAAGAACAACTTCCCAAACAGAGAGTAAATGCTTAAGTTCATCCTGACTCCATTTTGAGGGTAACACCTAGGTATGGGGATTTGTAAGAACAAATTCTGATCAGGGAGAGGCAAAGAACAGTGGCAACAACGTGTTCTTCCTTTCTCAGTGAACTTTTATGTGCACTAGAATACCTGTGTGTGCACATACATGTGTGGGGTGTCTGATAGGGGCCCTGAAATTGATTCTGAATCAAACACAGCTACTAGAGCCAGAGTGATAAAGCACAGTGACTCCAGAATGTGTACGCAGAGGCCAGCGTCTCAGTCCTGGCTGTCCATTTTCTAACCACGTACCTTGGACAAGTTGATGGATTGCTGATTCCATTTCATTATGTGCAAGAAGGATAACAATTTTTACTTCATAACTTCATGTTACAAGGAGCCCTCCCATGGGCCACTGTGCCACTAGACTCACCAGTGACTCTCCTACTTCATGAAGGGCTTATGGGAAAAATACCATGAAAATAGACTACAGAACACCCCTCCACCCCAGCCCAATGCCACTTTTTTTTCTTTACTCCAATACCATGAAGATGGTCAGAGGGAGTTGGCCAAATAGGTCTTTCCATAATTTTATATCCTCTTGTTTTATTTTTAATAAAAACATTTTTAAAAATTCCTTCTAATTCAGGGGGAAAAATAATTTAAAGCTCAGGGAAATAAGTATGGTAATACCCAGGATAAAATTGCAAAACAAAAAACGGTAAGAGCAAAGGGAAGAGAAAACGGAAATGGGTTTCTTCACATCAAACTATCAAGGAGATGTCTGATCATGAGAGCTGTCTAATGAGTGTTTGCTGACTGAATGAATGAGGTAGTTCCTGCTTTTCTCTCTTATACAAAGTAAGTGCTGGGTGAAGTACGAATAAGAATGCACAAACTTTTGCTAGATTTCTTAATAATGTAGCCCTCAGAGAGTCTGAGGGGCTCCAAGGCTTCAGCTCTGTATTGATGGCCAGTTAGCTAGTTCTTAGGAGTCTGTTAATTCTTAGGTTAGAAAAGCTCAACTGGGCTCAGCTTTACACTGCCCTGAACAGAAAAGGTCATCTGTGATGCCCCATGGGATTATGCGGGCTCATAGGCTTCTCTGCCACCTACCTTTTCAAACACAGGAAAGTATCTAATTATAGCCTTCTGGGCCATGTTAACCACTTCCTTTTGTTGATCTTCCGGTTTTAAGAAAGGATGCATGATGAGCAGTTCCAGCAGATCCAGTGTCCCCTCCACATACATGTCAATGCTTCAAACAGAAAAGCAGGTGTCTCAGTTCTCCCCCTTGAAGTTAACGGTTTTCACATCTAAGAAAACAGAGTGCTTTTTCTTCAGGCTATGCTAACCTAAGTACCAAGGAACATTTGCCTAAAACTGTCTGAAAAGCAAAGGTAGAGAGTCCATTCTAGTTACGGTTCAAAAACATCCTTCACAAATCAGAACTGTGACAGTCACAGCTGCCCTCTCTCCCCAGCTCCTACTCCTCCACCCTCACCCCAGCATTCACACCAAGTGCTCCTGGTGTGAATTTTACATTTATAAAAATAATGAATATCATTTACAGAATGCTTGGAGCACACCAGTCGTGGTGCTAAACATTCTGCATCCATTATCTCACTGAATCCCATGACACCACGTAGATGTGCTATTATTACACCAGATGTATGGAAAACTGAGGCCTAACCCTTTGCCCAGGATCATGTATCCAGGAAGTGCAAGAACCAGACTCAGTTCAAACTATAATCAATGCATGCTATCCCAGACCTTGAATGTCTGTTTCTCAATCCTAATACTCAAAGAAGTTAAAAAGTAGTATTGAAGTATTTAAAGATGCTAAAATATTTATGACATTATGAAATTATGACATCTTAAATAGATATATCAGAATTCAATTTCTTTCTACCATTTAACTTGAATCTGATTATAGATCCAAAAGACACAATCTTGAAAGATTAAAATTCTAAATATTAAATCCTGGAAGTCAAATTTTCTTTTTAGTAATTTTTTTTTTGGACAGGCCATCTTTTTACAGACACCCTCCCCACACACTATTTTAAGTTGCCAGCACTACTTTTTATAATTCACTCTCCATGTATTTCATTTTTGCATCACTTCCAATATTGGAGGTATACATTATGTGAAGAATTTTAGAGAATTCTAATTCATTTTATGTATGTTTTGCAACTTTGACTCCCTAAAGGTGCATTATCCCAAGGTTGGTTTTGTGTCTAAGCATTGTGCATGTACATAAAAATGTTGGAAGTTTCCCCAGTAAATGAAGAGATGGCCTTTTTGTACTTCTACATTTGTGAAAGATAAAATTTCTCAGCATCTCAGCTCTCTGGATGACTGACTCTGTGGGGCCTCACTGTAGCTTGGGACCAGTTTGCCAAAGGTCTTAGCTTGTCTCTCACAATATTCCAGATGACTGCAGTTGAGAAGCTAGATACACACAACTACCAACCACAGTGACATGAATTTCTATGCTTTGTTTTTTGGCCTATTTTTTTAATGAATACTGTTTTTTTTCTCATAAATATTATATCCATGTGACTGTTGTTAGTTTACCTGAATGTTTATGTTTGCAAAAATATCTGGTAACAGATTTTTTTTTAATTATGCAAAGTAGGCTATGGTAGTTCTGCCATGTTTTTATGTTTCTCAAATAAAAACCCCTTTAAAAATGTAAATAAATGTCTTCTAAAAGAATTTTTAAGAATTAGTTTGTCTAGACAGAATAATATATTTTTAGGATTTTTTTCTTTGGGGATTTTAGACCTTAGAAATTTTAGACCTTTTGGGATTTTGATGTTTAGGACTGTGTCTTCAGGAATTATGGCCCAAACTCATTTTACTCAGATTTTCTATACTGAATTTCCAAACAGTCTTCATGGCCTTTCTGAGGTATGTTTCCTGTTCACACTAATGATTCAGGACATAAAGGAATGGGGTGTGCTACAGAGGATTGCTAATCAGCTAAGGCACTAGAGAGGGTGTCAGAGGAGCCACCGTACAGGGTTCTTTCCTTGAGGTCCTTGCCAAATAGATGGTGCTTTTCTGCTATGTAGTGGAGAATGCATCGGGTCTGGACCAACTTCATTCCATCAATTTCAACCATGGGCACTTGTTGGAACAGCAAGTGGTTACCTGAAAACAGAAACCCAGAGTTAGAACTGACCTCTTCTTCCCATTCTCCAATCCCTAAAAAAGGGCTCTATTGAATGAAAAGGGGCAGTGGAGTCACGGTCTTAGGAAATACCAGAAAGCTCTCGGATGAAAGTTAACTTCAACTTCCAACTTCATCCAGGGGAGCAGATTTTAACCATGAAAGAAGCCTGAAAACTAACACTGTTGTGAATCTTCCCTTCTTATTTCCCCATCAAAAATACCTACCACTGAGACAAGGGATTGGGGAGGCCACATACTGGAGATAACGTGTTCAGAGCTGCACCAGTCAATATTTATACCTATATTAGAATAATTAAAATACTAAAAATTACAATACAGTTCCTCAGTCACATTAGACACATTTCAAGTATTCAGTGGTCAGAGATGGCTGGGGGTGGCTGTATTGGACAGTGTAGAACAGGACCTTTCTGTCACTTCAGAGTGCACTGAACAGCACTGAGAGAATCTGATCCTGAAACCTAAGGCACTGCGGATTCTCAGATATTCCTGCCGGCTTCTCCTCTTCTACAGTCGCGGGCCACTTACTAACAAGTTTGCTATCACTGAACCCAGAACCTTCTCCAACAAACCTATATCAAACACATTCCACATACCCAACCTTGGGAAGAGATGCAGAGAAAAGATTCAGTCCTTGGGCTGGGGCACTAACTTCAGACCAGTGTCACACACAAAAGCTGGCATTACAGCCCTGTAGACCTGGCCCTAAAGGGAGCCTTGACTTGGGCCTGGGACCTGATAGCTGGTGGGAAATTGCTCAGAGAGTTAGTAGGATTCCTTAAGGGCATGCTAATGGTTCCCATGCAGAGGATGGGCACAGAGGGAGCAGGGCTGGCCAAGGAGCTAAAGAGAAGCCTTTTATGGATTTCACTTCCATTTGGTAACTAGGTAGAGAAGATGGAGAAGGATGAGAAGGAGGGAAAGAGCAAAAGGAAGAAGGAAAAGGGAAGAAAGGTTGAAAGATTGAAAGGGGCCAGGGGAGGAGACAGGGATGGAGAAAGGTTGTTCACTTGGATGGGGAAGGAACTGTTCCTGCCTTTCAGTGAGCTTTTATTAGAACTCCTGAGCAAAAAGTGACTTCCTGCTGGGTGCAGTGGCACACGCCTGTAAACCCAGCACCTTGGGAGGCTGAGGCAGGAGGATCATAAGTTCAAAGCCAGCCTCAGCAAAAGTGAGGTGCTAAGCAACTCAGTGAGACCCCTGTCTCTAAATAAAATACAAAATAGGGCTGGGGATGTGGCTCAGTGGCCAAGTGCCTCTGAATTACCAACCCCCCCCCCACCACCACCACCACCAAAAAAAGAAGTGACTTCCTGGTAATTTCAGCTGTATATTCTCTTTTAGTTTTCTGGGTTTAGGATAGTGTTCTTAATGTTTTCTGCATCTTTACCCTTCCACATAAATATGTTCTTTAAAAACAGCAATACAACCAGATGCGATGGCCTATGCCTATAGTTCCAACAGCTCAGGAGACAGAGATGGGAGGATCACAAGTTCAAAGCCAGCCTCAGCAAAGTGAGGTGCTAAACACCTCAGTGAGACCCTGTCTTTAAATAAAATACAAAATAGGACTGGGGATGTGGCTCAGTGGTTGAGTGCCCTTGAATCCAATCCCTGGTACCAAAAAACGAAACAAAAAAACTCAGCAGTACTGTAGACAATAGTTTCATGTTCATACTCACCATCCTGCAACTTGTGCAACTGTTCTTTCGTTTCCAGAAATTCTTCATCAAACTAAATTAAAAAAAAAAAAAAGATACCCCCGCCACAGAAGGTAAATATCATTAGAGGTACAGGAGTGAAAACATCAATTTAAATCGCTTCAAGAAGCAGAGACCAAGTGCATACTTTGCATCCATATCTTGGTTCCTAAATATCACTGCCCACCAAAATGATCCAGGGCTCTTACAAGAAAAGGTTTATACTTTTATGTCAGAGTAAGGAAGTGCTCACAGATGAATGATACATGGCACAGGAAAAGGCATGGAGGACACTATTTTAGATGGATTCCCTAACCAAACGTGAGACAAATCAAGCATCAAAAAGAATGATGTCAGGTGTGGATTATAACACACAACAAAATCTCTATGCCTATAAATGATGATACTAAAAAAATGGTGGGAGGGGGCAAAAGCTCTGTTTTGAAAAAGAAGTAGTGCTAACTGATGAAGCTTTAATGCTAATGAATGATGAAATTAGAAAATCCTCACTTTGCATCCTCTAGTGTAATAACTAATTCTGAAAAGGATCATAATGGCCACTAAAATCACTGGGATAGAGAACATTCACTCACTCTCCAAGTGTCATTCCAAAGTTACTTAACTGTGATAAAAGGAAAATGTGTCCTTACAATAGAAGGGTCTGGAGATCTCACCGTCTATCTAATGATCAAACTGGGTTCGGGAAAGGGGAGACTCAGACATCCTGTGCTTTCTGTTGTGACCAATGAAGAAAGGCAGAGTATCACCTGTAAAAACATCTCCAAAAACATTTAACCTGAATTTAATCTCAAGGTAGAAATCAAGCATATCCAGGATGTGGCACTTTCAGTGACATAATGACCTGAACTCTAAGAATAGCATGGGGAAAAAAAAGGAAAAGAAGAAAGAAGTAGGTATTATTCTCAATAAAATGAGGAGACAAAACCACCAAATGCCTAACTCTAGATTAGATGAGGGGAAATTGTTATAATTGCTAAGTAACATGTAACAGAGACACTGGACAATATGAAAAATCTGAATATGGACTACATATTAGATGTTAGGGTCTTAGTGCTAATTTTCTTAATTGTTCTTTATCAAAATAATTATTTATTCTTTCTTCTTTCAAATGATCCAAAAAAATACAGAGAGGAAGGGAAAATGTAAACGTAGCAAAATGTGAACAACTGGTGAGTTGAGTTGAAAGACATGCTATCACATCTTTTCTGTAGGTTTGAGTTTTCAAATTTAAAAGTTGAGGTGAGAAAAAGGAATGAAAACAAGGCCCTCTTCTGGCAACAGCATGAAACACATTCTAAATGCTCCATACCAATGCTCTTTGGGTCAAGAATCCCAGGAGGAGTCCCCAGCAGCTAGGACCCTGCACTACACACCCAGGTCATTCTAAGGAGGGTGGAGCTGCTAAACAGGGTAGCAGTGCCCGCAGGCCTCTGCTCATCCATCTGAGCTGGCTGATGTGGATGATGAACCAGAGTGATGGGGTGTAGATGTGGCTTCTGCTACTCATCAGGGTCTTCAAAATACAAGGAGAGGAGTCCTAACTCCCCAGAGGATCCCCATCTGAGGCCCACGGGGACAGCAGCCTCAAGGCAACAATGATTAGGACATTTGTTCTAACTCCTGGAAGGTCAGAGGTGGTGCAAGTAACTTTCTCTCCATGCTACTGTTTCTCAAGCTTTATGGCCATGATCACTTAAAACATATGGGAAAGCAGGAGACAGACATATGCTTGGGAGACTCATATGCAGTACTTGGGAGGGCCCAGAATTACAGAATTTTTTAAAAAAACAAGAATGATTCTGGTATTTTACTTCTGAGAACACGTGTGCTAAATAAATGCTCTCTCTCACTAAGATTGCTTTGTATCTAGCTTTATAAACCATTGGTAAATAAGAGAAATTGGCACTGGCATGGGGACAGGGAGATAGAAGGAAGGAAAAATCCTAAGTAACAGTCTATGGCTGCAGGGATAGAGACAGCAGCTCAACTTCTATCCACCCAGTCACTTGCCTTTTCTCCCTAGTCCAGGATACAGTTCCCCATGTAGGATTCTATAGAGAACTGTCCCCTTCCACACCAAACACTCTTTCTTCTAAGTGAGTTACTTAGAAGTCCTGAATCAGGAGTTCCTGGCCTTTAAGTCTTCTCTTTTATATGTGTTACTCTTCCTCTTAATATGGGTTTTTGCTGGGTTTCTGAGGGGGTCTTCAGAAAAAAGAAGTCCAAAGCATCAAAGCATCAAAGACAAGCACAACAAAGACCAACAACCAGCTCAGAGCAATGCCAGCGAGGGCTCAAACCAAGTGGACTGAGAAGAGGATGCTGATTCCCTGAATCAGGACAGCTGATTTTCAGCAGGTTCTAGCCACTTCTAGGCACCTCATTACTTAGGTCTGTGTGCTTTCCATAAGAGGACCAAACACCCAGTCCTGGGTTACTGGAAAACACAAACTTGTCTGCTGGCTTCATGAGAGTAAATTTAGCTAAAATCATCTTTTGGTAAAGAGATAGGGAGTGACCTCCCCTAACACCATCTTTTGGAAACTGCTACTATACACCATGTGGTTGGCCCTGGCAAGGAGGACAGTTTTAGTTCTCTTCACCCTGGAGACCCCGCTAGGCTCATTATTCCACCCCATCGGCCTGTCCAATACCATTTGGTCTTTGGTAGGTGATTATATGACCCAAGTTCTTTTTGTTAACTTTTTTAAGATTTTGTTAACTTTTGTAAGGAAGATTCTTGACTCATAAGAGAGTAGGAGGGGCAGGGTAGAATGAAGGCAGAGAAAAAGAGACTTTGACAAAGGATGATATGACATACGTGTATATGACCTACATGTATCTATTCAAAACCCATGAAACAAATCAAAAGCCTGCCAGAATTAGACAAGTGACAAACAAGGGAAGTCAACCAGGTTCAGGTCCTGGGACCACAACTGCTTTCTTTCCTTTCTTCACACGATTAAAAAATAAAAGCTGAGAATACAGGGAATGGTAGGGAAGTTCTTATTTAGATCCAGCAATTGCTGCTCTGTACAAATTAGGGCCCAGTATCATCAGATCTTCCAATTTCTTTGTTTTTTTTTTGAAAAAAAAATTTTTAAGAGAGAGGGGGAGAGAGAGAATTTTTTAATATTTATTTTTTAGTATTTGGCGGACACAACATCTTTGTTTGTGGTGCTGAGGATCGAACCTGGGCCGCACACATGCCAGGCGAGCGCGCTACCGCTTGAGCCACACCCCCAGCCCTCTTCCAATTTCTTAACAGAAGTCAGAAACAGGATTTGTTTATAAAAATGATGTCAACCAGTTTGGAAAACTGTAAAATACTGTGTGGAAAGTTATAACAACATGCAAAAACATATAAATAAAACCCAAATCAATATTTGTTATCTTTAGAAGTTGCTAGGGCAACAACCATTTATTCTGAAAATGGATATATAGAACCAAACATTAATCAAGACTTTCTATATGAGCCATATTTCAAGGAAATTAAATAAAGAGCGAAAATTATTCATTATAAGGGAATCATCATTAATTAATAAATTCAGGTGAAATGATAGAAAAATTGTTATTTTGTAATCCCTAGCAATGATGACAATGATTAGTAGCTACTAAAATCACTAGTTGAAAAAGTGATGGGTAAACTACAATATCAAGCTCAGCATCACTGGTGTGGTACATTGCAGCCCCTGACGTGGTACAATAGAAGTACTTTCCAACTTGTTCTCCTGATGTAGTCTGGCGAGGCAAATAAAATCTAAGACAAAAAGAAGCCTGGATCTAATCACACCTCTGGGGTCAATGAGCAGCTTATAGGAAATATAGAGAAGAGAGGATAGCCTCATTTCACCATGTTACCTCAAAATAACTCCCAGATGGTAAACAAGTCAAATCCAGAATGGGTGACATTCGACAAGGCAGGTTTTCTTTTTTCACAAAAAAAATGACTGAGAAACAAACGCAGATAACTAGCACCCAGATCTTGGCTTCTAATATAATTTCCTACTACAAGAGACTAGGGCTCCTTGGAGAAATACCTAATTGTAATAGAGCAGCGAAAATACAAGATGAGCATTAGAGCATCTTATAGTGTCAGAAAGTAATGAAGGGCTAAGAAAAAAAAAAAAAAAGGAAAGAGTACCAATGGCCAAAGCTGGAACAACCCTAAGCAATAACTAAATGATGTGTGTGTGTGTGTGTGTGTGTGTGTGTGTGTAGAGAAATCTTCCTTACATAAAAATTCCAAATGTAAATACTCCCTCCTCCAGGAGGTGGAGCTTTAGTTCCCATCCTTTTGCTTGTGGGCTGGACTTAATGATTTGCTTCCAAAGAATACAGGGAAAAACAATAAGACAACAATGGAGAAATGTGACAGACCTTAACCAAACGACCAAGGTTACCAGCTCCAGTGATGATTCATGTTGATATCATCTAACCCAGGATAAGATGCAAAAAGAAGAGAACATCAGTTTGGCACTTCCTGCCCTCAAACTCATAAACCCATCTAATCATGGGAGAATATCAGACATGGAGAATCCTACAAAGATACTTCAAGGAGGTGAAATAAAGAAAGGCTGAGTAACTATCACAGACTGAGGGCAAGTAAAGAAACATACAAATATAGTGTTGAACCATGGAATAGTAAAAGGACCTTAGTAGAAAAAAAATCATGAAAGCAAATAAAGTATGCTATGTAGTTAGTCACATATTTCTTAGTTTGACATGTAAAATGTGATCATTAGGGGGGATTTAGGGTTACATGGCACAATTTTACAACTTTCTATAAATCTGGAATTATTGCTAAGTATAGTTTTTTTTTTTAATGTGGAGGTAAATGTTGGAGAATTTTAAAATACTGGAAGACACAAAATTAAATGCAATATGTTGACCATGTTTAGATCAGGAGTGGAACAAACTACTAAAAAATCAGAGACAATTAGACTGAGTGTTAGATGATAACAAGAAATGTGATAAATGTTGGGTGTGATAACACTGTTGTTAAGTTTTAAATTCCCAAGCCGTTCAAGAGCAATGTGGAAGTACAGTCCTCCCAGATGAAATGATATGATGTTTGAATTTTGCTTTAAAAATGCTTCCAACAAAACAAGTGGAGGGAGGAGCTTGATCAAACAGTATTAGCATAAAGCTAATGATCTTTTGAGCTGGAAGATGGGTAATGCATAGAATTTATGGCAATGCTCGATGTGGTTTGTATCTGAAACTTTTCATAATAAAAAAATCAAAGGAACAGAAATGCTATGTGGACCATTGCTCAAGAGTATGCTGGCAAAATGCCAAGGTTTGCCATTTGGAAGCTATCAACAGGAAATTTACCCGAGATTGCATAATTAGTAAATGTTCAGGGTGAAATTGGAAATTTTCTGATTAATTCCCTTTCTCCTTATTATTCACTGGTGTTAGATCAGAGGCCAACGATTAAGTAAAAGTCAAAGGAGAAACAGAAATCCATAGATTACATTCCATTTATAAAGAAAAGTCCCTTGACAGGAAGGAATCTTCTGACCCAAAGCACAGCTGTGATTTTGGTAAAGGATGAATAGGTTCTCTGAAATTTATTGTCTCCTCAAAAGTCTCAAAGTTGTATGGCAAATCTGTGAAGAAACAGCAGAGAGATACCTCGACTCCAGCGGCTGCTAAAACCCATCTTACGGATTCCATGCGGCCTCTTCCGTTGGGGTAGTGGAGCTTGGGCCTCGCTGCCATGATGGCTTTTCAGGCTTCTGAAAAACAAATGCAGCAGGCAGCTCCTCGCACACGAACCAACAACCCACGTTTTTAATGTCGTGTCCTTTGCCAGTGCTCAGGGGCTACATGAATATTCAGGATTTTGGAACAGGAAATTGGTTTCTTTTATTGCTGCATTTTCCTTCACTCAATAAAAACATACCACCATTTTAAAACATGGAGAAAAAAAAAAGAAAAAACAACAGCTTTGGCTTTCATATTGTTTCTATTTATGATTTCTTGTTCTGGATCTTGGGAACCTGGGGGCGATTTGTTGTAAAGACATTTGTGCTAGCAGTACAGGATGTCACAGATTCATCATACCGTTATGATGTTTTTTCGACCTTGAGAATCTTAGGATTTTTTCCAAATTCAGCTTGGAGGGGCAAGTCACAGAGGGCCGCGGGGGCGAAATGCACGCCCACTGGAATCTTCATGTTTTACATGCATCGTCATATGTTATCACAGCAACTGGGAGGTGGACAGGGCAAATATTGCTATTGTCCGCAAGAAGTGAATCTGCTGTGGCCCTCCCGGCCCCGCACGTGCCCACCCCCTGCTAGAAGATGATTCCCTGGCTTGAGAAATTCCCCCCAGGCCACACTTGGCTCTCGGAAAACGAGACTCCCAGCTCAACCCACCAAGGGCTGCAGCTGTTGCCTGGTCGCCTGGGGCGATCTGAGCCTACCTTCGCAAAGGAGGGTAATAAAAATGCACCCAGAGCCAAGAATGACCCAATCCCAATCTAGGGGCCCGCGTCTGCCCAGATGGGGGCAGAGGTGCAAAAGACAAGAGGGAGAAAGACAAAAAAAAAAAAAAAAGGCTGAATAGTGAGGGGGTGAGGGATGGATGGGGCAGCAAGGAGCTCGGAGAATAGCCGGGAGGAGAAACAACAGGAGAGGAAAGGGCGGGCGGGGACGGCGGGAGGAAGACAGACCTGGGGTCCACTCGGAGCGCCACGAACTGCACAAAGCGCTCGGCCAGCTGTCTGCAGCGAGGCGGGCGGAGCGCCAGACGAGGAGGCGGCTCCACATGGGCGAGGCTCCGGGAGGACTTCACCAATCAAGAACACATTATTTAGCATGCCCCACCCAGCTGCAAGGGATTCTGGATAATGTGGAAAAAATCCCAAATTTAAGACACTTTCATTTCGATTTTAGCATTTTGGAGGTTTAAATTACCTTTCTAGTAATTAGAGCAAGTTTTGTTTTAATTATAAAGTTATGTTATGAGCAAAATGTAAATCAGAAACTCAGCCTATGTGTAAAGTAGTAAATCTCTTTGGGTTTATATAGCCTGTAGCCCAGCCTACTCTCTCGGATGTGAGGGCGATCTGGCTGCGACATCTGTCACCCCATTGATCGCCAGGGTTGATTCGGCTGATCTGGCTGGCTAGGCGGGTGTCCCCTTCCTCCCTCAC